GTCTTGACCTACAGAATCAGAAACTGCCTTTTAACAGTATGTCCTGATGATTTTTTTGCAGATTAAAGCTCGAGAAGCTCAAAATGTCTTCAGGCCTCAGGATTTGGTTATATAAAATTTCATAGCACCAACAGCCTGACATCAGCTGTCTGCTGCCAAACAAATCACCCCAAAATGTACTGTGTCTTGAAATACTAATGATTTATTTCTCATGATTCTGTAGGTTGACTTGGCTCAGTTGGTAAGTTCTTCTGCTTCAGGTGGCATAGGCCAGGGTCAGGGACTAGGCTGCATTCATGGGCTGAACTGGAAGATTCAAGGTTTCACTCATATATCCAGTGCCCCAGTGCTCCTCCCTGGGTTTCTCTACATGGATAGCTTGGGCTTCCTCAAAGCACACTGTTCTCAGGGTTTGGGACTTCTTACATGGCAGCTGGCTTCCAGGGAGGAGGAAAGAGATGCTGCCAATTCTATTAAGGCCTGGGTTTGGAGGACCTAGAACATCACTTCTGTTGCATTCTATTTGCTAGTCAAAACAAATCACAAGGCCGATTAGATTCAAGGGGAGAGAAAATGGTTTACACCTCTTGAGGGGTCAAGTGGCATGCATACACGAGGAGGGAAGGCATTGGTTGATGGCCGTCTTTGGAGACTATCTATCATACCGGCCCTCTTGGATAATATCAGATGCCGTGCATGAGCTCTCCCTAAACTCTAATAGCTTGAAAAGTGCTCTGGTGTATGTCCTAGACTGGCTCTTTCTCTGAAGTAACCAGGCGCTTCAACCCATTTTACAAAAGGAAAGCTATGTCCCACCCATGAGGCCAGGAGAACAGAAGATCTAGCAACATATAATCTATTTCTGCCTCCGTTGATTTCCCAAAAATCTCTTTTAAAGTTTGCAGCAAGAAGAAAAAGCGGTTTGGGGTCTCAACCTTAATGACCACTTTTCTATAAATTGGTAAGAGACAAGGTACTCAGTTTCCCCAGGAGTTCATCAATAAAGGCAAAGAGCGGCTTTTTCTCTTACTTATTCCTCTGGGAGCTTGGAATAACAGGCATGCTTTTTGTGCGTTATGTTCTAGAAGCTGTTACTTATAAACTAAGGCAATGGGGTTGATGGTCAGCTGGGCTGAGAAGGGGAGGGAAGAGAGAAAGAAGGTGGGGAAGGCAGAGAGGAGAGAAGATGGTTAAATAAGGAAAATAAGAAACAGTGATGAAAGAAGTGATGAAATTAGGATCACAGAATCCCAAACCAGAAGCACAAACTCATTTCTCCAGCCCTCTCTTAAATCATCCGGAGACTAAGGCAAAGTCGCCAGAGGTGGGACCAGAACCTGGCTCTTCTGATTCTCAGAGCTTTTCTTCCTCCATATTTACCTTATTACATTGTGATATTGAGGATTTTGAGAAACTCTGCCTCCACGTACAGCTGTGACATAGCACCTTGTGCTGGGTGGAACTCTAAATATTTAATGTTACGAATCTAGGTAGTGATGATAAGCACAATCATATCAGTATTAGCATGAAGGTTTCTGCAGGCCCCTGAATAGTTTTCAAAAAGGGAAAGTTGATGACAAGGGCGACAGCCAGGGCGGAGAGCCCTGTAAAGAGCTGTGGTTTGGTTTTAGTTTAGGATTCCTCTCACTTTCAGTGCTCTCATTCCATCATGGGCTTTTCTCCCTGCTGGCTGCTCTGTGGGATGCAGGTGGTTGTCAGGAAGACAGAGAGAAATATCTAAAAACAAATGAAAGCATGATCTTCAGCCGCTCAAGGTCAATGGCACCGGCACCAATCTAACTAGTGGCAGCTCCTTGCTGTGGAGCCGGAATCCAAAAGAGGAAGGTCTCTGGAAAACACCCGGCATAGAGCATTCTATGAATTTTTTGAAAAATACACAAATAACCCTTCCCCCTGCTCCATCTCTCACAACACAGCCCTGGGCGCAGAGGAGACGCTTGAACACACAAAAGGAGAATCACACACACACAGATACAAAGTGGAAAAAATAATAATAATGCCTTGGTTCCTCTATTGCCTGCATGTTCAGTTCAAAGGAGATCTATTTTAAAAGCTAGGAATGTCCCGCCTGAAACTGTTACTGAAATATCCAAGAACTGATACTTCAGCACTCGCTGGGTGGTTGCGATCAGTCTGCAACGTGTGGGGCGCCTGCAAAGTAACAACCGGTAAGCACATTAAGCCAAAGACAAACAGAAGTAAGAGCTGCTCCACATCTCCCAAGGCAAAGAGATCTGAGGACCATGCTGAGCTAATGACACCTGCAGAGTCTGGAAGTCCCGGACTTGGTGGAGAAGAGGAGGAGCCAGTGAGAGGATCTTTAATTCCAGGTGGAGATGGGAGCAAAGGAAGCTCTGCCCGCCCCGCCTCCGGACTGCGGTCCCAACCCTGACCTGAGCAGGTAGAGCCCTATGGCAGCCTCTCACACCTTGACTCACATGTGGGAAGGAGAGTGGAGGCTTAACAGAGAAGGAGAAAAGGCAGGGAGTGAAATTTGCTTTTATTAAGAGGCAAACATTCAGACATCCAAGCAGACAGTAAAAAAGGAAACCCAACTTGCAGTACGCGAGATATCCAACACCTCAGTTCTGACCCCTTGAAAACCGGTGGGTTTTATCCAAGGGAGAACTCTATGAGGCAGGAATGTCGATGTACCTCCTTAGCACTTCCATCTCTAAGACCCTCTGCTCTCGCAGTCCTCATGTCATCTCTTCTGAGATAATGAGTTCCTTGAGGGCAGGACTCAGGTCTGTTTCATCTCTGCATGTTTCAGCACGGAGCACAGTTTTGTGCACAGAGAGGTGCTGTTTGTTGGGCGGCTTAACATGGAGGAATGCTAGTCCCATAGACTTTCCCCATTCACTCCATATTTTACTCCACAGCCAGATTAACCTTCATGATACATGATTCTGAGTATGTCCTAACTGTACCCAAAACTGACCACGGTTCCATAGAGCACACAGTTTATCAAGTCCACTGTCACTGGCTGATGGGCACGCCCAGTCTACCGAGCCAGCCTTGTCTCACACCTTCCCCTTTAAACGCCCTCTGCTTTCCGCCCTCTGTCTGCACTCTTCTTGGTTCCCAAACATTCTCGATGCTCTCCAGTTCTGTCCCTTTACTCACGACTTCCTTCTGCAGGAGGAGTCTGGACACTTGGCCCTAAATCCCACCTCTATTAGTTCATTAGCTGTGTGACCTATGGCAATTTTTTTTTTTTTTTTTGCCTGCTGAGTCTCATTTTCTTTTTTTTAAAGATTTTATTTATTTATTTGACAGAGAGAGGGAGAGCACAAGCAGGGGGAGCAGCGGAGGGAAAGGGAGAAGCAGGCTCCCCGTGGAGCAGGGAGCCCGATGTGGGGCTTGGTCCCAGGACCCTGGGATTGGGACCTGAGCTGAAGGCAGACGCTTAACCAACTGAGCCACCCAGGTGCCCTGAGTCTTATTTCTTCATCTTTAAAATTAGAGATAATATTAACCTTGCAGAGTTATTGTACAGAGAAATAAACAATTAAATAACATCTGTGAAAGCATCAGCTATTGTAGGTGCCCGAGAAATGTTTGTCTCTCCTCTTTTGGACCCTTTAAGTTTGAGCACATGCTGTAGGCAGAAGAGCCTCTCCCTGCACCAGACCTGAGCAAGTGGGTCTGGGGGACATTCAGGCAACAGTGAGGGAGGATCCGTCTTTAGTGAGCCATAGGGAAGCAAGTGGCCAACAGATGACACACCCGCATGTCCCTACACACAAAATCCCAGCAGATTATCTAGCCAACGTCCTCTTTCAGAGACAAGGAAACCAAAACCCAATGAGGAACCAAAGCTGGACTCCTGTCTTCTGTTCCTTACTTTTCCCCATGCCATGAAACAGAGCCAAAATTCATTGAACCGACCAGATGCCCAGGAATGCCCCAGGCCGAGGCTGGAACCGGAATCCCAGGCTACAGACCTTCCTCAGAAGTGTCTGGTTCATTGCCTTGCTCCAGACAGGCCTGCACCTACGACTCACTCAGTGCTTACTGGGCTCCTACAAAATGTTAGGTCCACACCTATGAGGAGAATGATAAAATGTCTGAGATGGACATCATCTTGTTCCAACTCACAACCCAGCTAGGAAGGAGTGATGTGTTCAGATAATTGCCACACAGTGTGGGAACTGCGCCAACCCCACACTGGAACACCGACGGACAGAGAGAAGCTCCCTGGTAGAGCAGAAAAATCTTCACAAGGGAGACAGATGAGTTAGGCCTTGAAGAATAAGCAGGTGAAGGGTACAGGTGTTGGGAAGGGCATTGTGACTGGGTCACTGATTTTCACTGTGCCAACAATTATAGTAGCATATGCAGGAGGTGAGGCCACACACCTGTCTGGTGGGAACAATCCGGCTCCGTGAAAGGTAGCCAAGGACTATCCCAGGCTGTACCAGGCTCAGGAACATTTTTGAGCCAAATGCCAGGTACCCAATATTATTCCTAACATATTTGTTTTACACAGATTACTTCCAAGGGTCCCTCATCACCTCCTTGATTGCTGGGCCTGAAGTAGGCCTAGGTCAAATAAATCCGAATCTCAGATTTGGGAGTTTTCATCCAGAAAAGAAAAGAAAAGAAAAAAAAAAAAAAAGCCCAAAGCAAATGGGAGGTCTCTTAAGTGAGAAATAAGTGGGTAACCTCTCAAAAGAAAAGGTATCGGTGCACAACCAACTGGCTGGGTCCTCCAGGAAGCAGACATCAAGACCAAGTTAGGGATCAGAGAGATTTTTGTTTTTTTAAAGATTTTTATTTTTTTTAAAGATTTTATTTATTTGACAGAGAGAGAGACAGCCAGAGAGGGAACACAAGCTGGGGGAGTGGGAGAGGGAGAAGCAGGCTTCCCACTGAGCACGGAGCCCGATGCGGGGCTCGATGCGGGGCTTGATCTCAGGACCCTGGGATCATGACCTGAGCCGAAGGCCACAACAACTGAGCCACCCAGGGACCCCAGGATCTGAGAGATTTGTTGGAGGTGAGACCGTGAAAGAGAAAGAGGAGAGGAAGCAGGAGTGGGTAGGGAAAGGCCTCCGACCATGACAGAGGCCTGACCCCTGTGAACAAGGTAGAGGGCAGAAAGGAGGATTGGGTAAGAAGTTCAGGTGCAAAGACTGGCAGGAGAGATGAAACACCCGGCTCCTGGGCCTCACCGAGCTCGGTCTTGGCAAGGGCGGCCTGGGCAGGGCTAGATCGCTCCCAAAGCCCAGGCGGATCCCCAGGGAACCTGCCGCTGACAGCAGGCCTCACCGCAGGTTCTCGCTGCAAGAAAAATCTCAGCAACACATCTCCATGGCGGCTGCACACGCGCATCAGCCTGGAAGAAAGGAATTTAGAGGGGAATTTACTATGCTGGTAGTTAGAGACTTGTTCTGATCTTAAGATACAGTAATTGTAGGCTCTTTTTGTTGGTTAATTATCGGTGTCTGTCAGAGAAAACTCAAATCGCTAGCATTTATGACAGGCCTGGGTTGAGGGTAAAGCTTTGGTCCTGGAGTTCTTACTTAGTTCCCTAGAAACCGAATTCTTCGCTTGAGCAAGCCGCTCAGCTGTCTGATCACTAAATGGAAAGAAGGATAAGTCAACGCTCTCCGCCAGAGAGCGAGAATGGAAGAGGGAAAGAGGAGTGAGCTACTAGACCTGAAGCACCAGGAGTACAAGATCCCATTGGTCTTTCCCCCCAGTGAATGGCTCGCTGCTCCTAGTATCTGGCACATGGAGGCCCTTACTAAATATAAGATGAATGAATGAATGAATGAATGAACAGATGAATGTCACCCACCACTTCCAGATAAAACAGTTCTCTCTCGCATTTGTCGCTCCTTGTGTTGAGCTTCTCAGACATGCTCATTTTGTTTTCTATATTTTTTACATACCACCCTATACCAACTGGGGTTCAGCAGGAGAGGACAGAATCCTTTCTAACTGGTTTAGGCAGGAAGGACTTCATTTCTGGGTATTAAATGGCTCGTAGACTCTCTCGTTGGGCGGGCGGAAGAAACGGACCGTAGGTCGAGCTGCAGGGACAAACCCCCGAGGCACACTACAGACCCGGCCCAGCCCGGGCACGGCGGCTCTCTTCTACAACCCGGAAGCTCCGTCCGCCAGCACCCCACTGCCGCCGCAGCCATCAGGAAGCAGCCGAGTTCTGGAACCTTCCATGGCCGCCCCCTCTGGATCACACCACACCTGCAGGGATACCAGCGAATGTCCCACGCGCCTCTCACCCCACATGAACGTAACAAATAGACTCTGGAAGGGCCAAATGCCCCCACGTGCTTGTTGGTCCTCAGACGCAGCAAAGGCATGGCCCCTGCTGCAGGTCTGTCTACCAAATCTACGTGAGCGCCACTGGTGGGTCAAACTTGAATCACCTCAGGAAGCCTGGCTTCCAGGGACTTGAGAAAAATGTCGTGGTTTTGTTTGTTTAGTTCCAGCCTCTGCGGGAGATCCAAGTGGAGCCTAACGCAGTGATGGGCCGTCCCACCACAGCGCCCCCGTGAGGAAACCGCGGAGAAGGGCTCATTCCCTACCTCCTGTCTGTTAGAACCCAGGCGCCTTGGGGCCAGTCTGAAAGGAGGGTTGCCTCCTCACTTGTGAAAAGATTGTGAAAACAACTCATGCGTGCATTTTCTAAGGAGACAGAAGAGCAGGAATCATTGATCGTTAGTTGTCTTCCACAAAGGGACATCCTCTGTGGGCTTTGGCTCCCTGGACCCTCTACCTCATTCAGAATGTCATGTGGCCACTGATATCACCCTGTGATTGTGACTTTTGTGAGGTCAAATAGTTAACGATCCTAAATACTTCATAGCAACCCCAAACCACAACTTCTAGGTTTGACTTTCAGTGCTCTTATAACTTCTGTATCTCCATCTAGGGAGTTCTGGTATCATCCTCATTACCTTGTTGCCATTATTGGGGAAAAACACCTGCCGCATGTCAAGCACTGTTTATATATGTAATAGGCACGTTGAATAAGTATAACGCACGATGTGCCCAAAACTGTTTTTGTTTCCCATTGTCCCATAATGTTTTTTGTTCAGTGGGTTAACCTCCCCTGTCCTTGGATAAAAACCCTGGCAGGTGTTTGGGCTTTTTGGCTCCCTTCTAGGTAATAGCACAGTATTGGAGTCACTTTAAGTCACAAAGACATTCTCATTTTGGTCACAATGATGTCTAGTTCCATGTAACAGTCAAGAGGCTGAATTCTGTTTCCATGGGCCAGCCTCAGGCTGGACGCCCACAGTGGGGAAGGAGGCTTGACACTTCAGCTCTCGTCTTCCTGCCACAATCTTGTTCACTCCCTCACTGTCAGATCTAAAGGAGGGGATAGGACCATACTTACTTGACAGTGGCTCTCTGCTCCCTGAGCCTGGCACGTGGTTCAGGCTGGTGTCCTGGGTCGGAGAACTCTTTCTCTCATGAAGTGCTTTTCTAGTTCTTCATGGTTCTCATCTGTCCTGCAGGCCCTTTTGACCTGGGGAAGGCACTTCAACTCTTGGTGGCCTCTTCCAACTCCTCCCTCATCCCCTGGGCATTGGGCATTGGGCCTCTGGCTCTTTGCTGTGCGGTTTCTCCTGTCTCTTGAAACAGGACCGTTCTACCTGGATGCAACCCAAGGTGGCTCCACCTCACGTCTTTCCCAGGTAGCTTTTGTCTAGTCTACAGGAAATGCCTCCCTGCCCTGCACCGATCTTGATCTGACTGAGGGGCTGAGAGACAGGAAACATGTCCTCAGAGCTACTTCTTCTGTAAAGCTGCAGAGGGTACGGAGGTGGTGGGTTTTGTTTTACACATTCGTTCGTAGGTAATAACTGTTGTGTTGGTGTCTCAGTCAAAACAGAGGCAGGAGGGGTCCCACTGTAACATCCTGCAATGCATGGTTGCTAAAGCCCTTCACAGAGGGTTCCTGACCCTCCTTTTAGACAGCGAGTTCCTCGGCAATAGAAACCATGCTTGCGTCATTCCCCCCCCCATCATTATCCATCCCCTTTGCATCCTTCAAGATCCAGCTCATTCTTTACTCCTTTGGTGAAGCATGAAGTCTTTTTAGATCTTTCTGACTGGCTAACGTTTCTCAATCTTTCATGTTTCTCAAGCTTTCACATGTCCCCTCCATGTGTGCCTCCTCCATGAAGTCCTGATCCGCCGGCATGCCCCCCAACACAATTGCCTCCCTCCTCGGAGCTCCCTTAGGACCTTTACATAAACCAATTATCACATTTTGTGTTGCTTTCTCCCCCAACTCTTTGCCTTACAGAGTAGCCTAAGACCTCTTCAAAGATAGCACCCATGTCTTAGCCAGCTCATACCTCTCAGTCAACTCCTACCGTACCATACTTAGCTCATACCCCTAGCACCATACTCAGTCCACTGAAGGCAATCAATTTACACATCCAACACGGGCTTATGGAGCAAACACTGAGGACACCATGGTGAACAAGACAGACAAGGCTTTGCCTTCATGGCGCTTGAAGGAAACTAGAAACAATGGCAGCACCCCATAGAATTTCCCTCACTGAGGTCCTGGTCTGTGCTGGGCCCCTTGCAGGTGCATCCCAGAAAATAGGCACAGTGAGATTCTCAACTACTAAACATGGAAGCCCAGCACACTTCTAAACAGTTGCCACAAATACTGTTGGAAAAGTCTGACCTATTCCCCTGATGTGGATTCACCCATTCAATGACACAGTTTATTCAAAACAAGGCCTGTGAATGACCTGAAAGTCTAATATCGGGGGCTCTTTTACACTTCATGAGAGAGCTTATGCTCTCCAGAGGGATGTGGCCCTCGCATGAGTCACCTGAGCACGCACACTGCCCAGGCTTCCCCAACAAATGACACCAGTTTGTGCATGCAAGAAGGGAGAAAAAAATACGCTCCCATAGCAGATGTCCTTGCCCTCACTTCTCATAAGAGTATATAGCTTATTGAGGTTCTAGGTTATGGGACTACTGTTTCGTTGTATTTCTTTATGTGAAGTGGGGGAAGGACAGTAACAATACGGCAGATCACACCTGAACATCAGAAATGAAGAATATCTGAGTCTGAATCTATAGAGCTAACAAATTCTGGGCAGCAAACTCATTGACAGCAACAGTCTTCTCATAGAGGGTGCCCTAAGGGCCTGGAAAGGACCTTCTATCCAAAACACATTTCTTCCCGCACTCTCTACCACAAAGCAAGAAATTCCCACCATGGAACTCTGCCTGAGGTAAGATGTTTCTAGAAGCTCCGCGTTTACATAGCCATGAAGGGCAGTAGACATCAGAAACTCCAATGACAGTGATTGATGATAGTTTCCCAAGCCCTAAATATTTTGATTCACGGAGCTGTCAGAGCCCAAAACACTATAGGATTTTCTGTTGCTTTTTCTATATTTGTTATAGAATTTACTCTGCATAGGTTCCATTTGTCAAATGCCTGTGCCTGATCTCAAAGGACACAGGATTGGGGAGACCCGACAAGGGAAAAGTTGACAGACCATGTCCAGACGTTGGGTAGACACGAACAAGAGCAGTCCGAGGGAGGCAATGCTGTGGGAGACCAGGCTCTGGAAGAAGGGATGCCTCAGAAAGACAAACTCCACATCAGATTCCGTGCACAAGCTGCTGGTTGCTGGGAGCAAGGGAGGCAGAGTCCTGGGTTCAACATAGAGTTATGTATAACAAAGGCACATGGCAACTTTTTCTTTTAAAATCTTTCTAGTTTCTCAGAAGTCTTCCTAGCTAGGACTCCTCTGTCCTGCATAAACCTTTCTTGTAAAAGATGGTGTCAGTATCACAAACCCAAGTTGTGAGTCAGCCGAGCTGCCAACTTCCTGGAGGCCATCACCAAGCATGAGGCTGGCTCAGATTGGACAGAACTGGCTTTTCCATGTGTCTCAACTCAACCAGCTGATCCAGAACTTCCTTGCAAAGATGAGGTGTCCCTTCAGCAAACACCATTGGTCTTCTCCTTACATTTGGAGCTGGGTTTTGCTTTATAGCACTGACAGTGGAGGCCAAGAATAGAAATGAGACATCCTCAGAGCTAACTAGAGGTTACCTAGCTTTGCTACCAGGACCAGCAGGAGTACTGCTCCACCTACTTTAGAAGAGACTGCTGCAAAAAAAAAAAAAAAAAAAAATAGGCCAAGACGATGCTGAATCTGCAAATGTCAATGCAAATTTTCAGCCTGACACTCTGCCCTCGTGGCTCTCCCTTTGGGACATCCTGCTCCTGTTTCATAGGTCTCCTTATTTCACCCCCCATCCTCTGCCCCTCAACAGGTCACAGAGAGCCCAAATTCCCTGCATTTGCTCCTCCTGTTC